GAAGACAGCACCATACTGGCTGCTGTGAAGCATCTCATCAAGAGGCACTACAACTCTCTGCAGTATCTAACAGAATAAAATTATAACTTTTTGAACAACTGTGCCAGTTCAGTGTAATTTAGGATATTGAGAAGATGGTGTTTGAGTATGGAAGGAACCATCTCCAGACTGGACTTTTGGCAAGATGAGGTAGTGTCTTTGCTTCCTGAGAATTCAGAGTCCATTCCAGTCCATTGTGGATGAACAATACAGGTGCTATATTTCTGTATAATAATTGTGGACTTGAAAAACAGCATAAAATGTCTATTGTCTGGCATAACAGATTTTACTGGTTTTCTTCCTTATTTCTCAATTGAGTGAAGGTACTCAAACTTTCGATATACTGTATTATCTTTTTTGAAGAAATAACAGGTAAGCTAAGATGTTAGTGTCCTATGGGAAAAAAGCATGTAACATGTATGTATCAGTACAGCACACGTATTTTTGTAGAGAAGAATACTCAAATTATGTACAGGGGAAAATATTTTTCAAATGCTTATATTAAAGTAGTGACATATCTACATGCAGCATTAGTACATGTAAACGTTGTGAGAACATGTGATAAAATATGACATAAATTATATGCTAGACATGGTATCCTGGTAAGCTAAATTGAAATGACCGGCATCCTTTTTCCAGTCATTTTAGGCATGCATTAAGTCACAACCTAGCATTATCTTCTCAAAGTAAGGATGGAAGTAGCTTCTGGTTCTCCACACTTGATATTAGGGTAAAACCAGGAGTAATCTTGAGTTTGTCAGACTGCCTTTTCTTTTTTTTTTGCTTGTTTCATGTGACAAAGAGTAGGCCACACATTTTTGTGCGTGTGCATTTTGTTTAAGTTTTCCCGACACTTGTGATGTTTCAGAATAGATAAAAGAAGGAAGAAATAAAACCAATAGGCCTCACCTGTATGTGTTGTCTCATGTGGAGATTTGAGTAAAACAGTGACTTATAAAGAGTTTGACTGTTAAGGAAAACATTTAAGTCAGTTAATTTCAATATACTTATGAAATGGAGCACTGTAATATTCCAGTGTGCTTTACTGTTAACACTTCTGTGTGTATGCATGAACCACCACAACTAAGCGGAAAGGACTTTGTGCTTAGTGTGTATTTTTTATTTAGTTATTTTTTTGAAAATAATTGCTCTTTATGTAAATCTATACTTAGTTAACTGAACTCATTACCTTCATCTAACAGGGGTTTAACTTATTTGAAATGTAGTGTTTCAGGAAGTTCAATATGTTGACTCTCAGACATACACAGCAGCTTGCACCATGAACCCAGGCGTGGTGTGAATAAGTTAAAAGTCCACAAGCCTTTTACCAAATGTTGCCGATCTGAAAATTTTAAGTTACCCAAGTAGCCGTAATAAGGAAAATTTGGGGTGAATGCCTGGATCTGCTAAATAACTTAGAGTAATTGTAAATAGAAATAGATTTGTGTCTTACTTACCTGAATAATGAAAAAGCTGTCCCAGGAGTTGTCATAGCAGCCATGTAAATACAATTGTACTAGTGTGTGTACAAGTCATGTCACTGACTAATGTTCCTGTTAATGGACTGTTTTTGTAGCCTTATCAGTTTCCTAGTTGAACTTCATTGAAAGTATCAATATAGCAATACTTTTTTAATTATTATCAATTATTTAAATAGATTTGCCCTAGGTGTAAGAGGTGGATTTTTCCAGAGTTTTTTTTAATGCATTCATTGCCTCCTGCCTATACTTAGTGTTTGATTTTGAAGAAAATTAGTAATTTTTTTTATTATTTTTGACTTGCAGGTTAATCTTCGAGCCACTGATGTGAAGCTTATGCGCCAGCTACTCATCATCAATGAAAGTATTGAATCAATCAAATGGATGATTGAAGAGAAGGCCATTGCCAGCAGAGGTAGCAGTTTGAGTGGCAGCCTCTGCAGCTTGCTGGAAAGTCAGGAGGCATCCCTCCATGGCAGCTGTAACAGTTTACAAGACTGTAGTGATGGACTGGATGGAATATCAGTGGGGAGTTATCTGGACACCTTAGCGGATGATGTCCCTGGTCACCAAACCCCTTCAGATATGGACCAGTTCAGTGATTCTTCTATTATGGATGACTCACAGCCCCTGCATAAGCATCCCAAAATTGAGTCTGATGAGTACTACTGTTTTGGTTAATAAAAACAAGTTCCAGTGGGACACAAATGCACTTGTACTTACCCTTTTTCTTTGCTGCTATTTTATTTCATGTGTAAAACCCCCAAACATGTCTTGGAAGAAAATCATGATACTTTGATTCCAGTCCGTAACTTTTCTGTTGCTTCTAATATATTTTCTCCTAGGTAGGTTGGACTTTGCTTCTCCTCGCTTATTCTTAATTTATTGTCGCAGTTTTTCTTTGTCGTAATTTTTTTTACAATGCTGTATTTGCAGGTCTTTAAAGATTGTGAAGAAAAAGCTTTATCTTTAAAATGAGATATCAGAGAATGAGAGCAAAAAAATTGTATTTGTTGGCAATAAAGTATCATCTGATAAATGTATGTTGTGGTAAATTTTCTTGACTACCAGTTTTGGTCTTTCCAAGTACACTTCTTATTAAGCCTTAAATCTCAGTCTTAAGAATACCTCTATGAAATAATTTTCCATTTGTAACTAATGATATTTTATTCTGTTAAGCTGTCTTCACTTAGAATACAAAGAATTGTAAACTTGCCTGTGTGGGTTTTCTTTCTTGAATATTCTCATCCTTGTCTAATTATGTTTTTAAATGCTAGGCTTCACTGGTGTCTTGTGATGCATCCCAAACCTGGAAGCTCTGCATAAGAGTAGATTTCATTTTTGTGCTTCATACCTTTCATTTTCATTGAAACTGCTGTTTTATAACAATAGTCTGTATCTGTAAAAAAATGAAAGAGGAATGTGACATACAAACATCCAGTTCTAATAATTTGGTTACTGAGCCAAAATTCCTCATCAGACCAATTTTAAAAATATAATTTTAAGTCTTGACAATATTTACTGTCACATTTTGAGGGATGTAGAGGGTGCCGTCGAAACATTTTACAGGAGGCAACATGCTAGAGGGCATGTCCTGTTTTACTTTTCTATACACACCGTCACCCTTAACAAGCTTACCTTTTTTTTACCAAATGTTGTTACTAAGATAAAGTGTTGGCCTGCTGTCTTTTTGTTACCTGTTTTGCAAGTATCATAGAATCATGGAACTAGAAGACCATCAAGTCCAACTATCAGCCCAACACCCCCATGGTGCTAAACCATCTCCCAAAATGCCACATCTACCTGTTTTTTTAACACCTCCAGGCGTGGTACCCCTAGCACCACCCTAGGCAGGGAGGTTCCAGTGCCTCACCACTCCTGTAATTTTTTTCCTAATATCCAGTCTGAACCTCCACTGGCACAACTTGACCCCATTTCCTCTTGTTCTAGTCACTAGAGAGAAGAGGCAAACATCCACCTCACCACAACCTTTCAGGGCGGTGTAGAGAGCAATGAGGTCTCCTCTCAAGACTCCACTTCTCCAGGCTGAACATTCCCAACTCCCTCAGGCTCTCCTCATAAGACCTGGTTTCTAGACCCCTGATCTAGACCCCGCTACTTACCCTTGTCTGCACCCTTTCCAGCGCCTCATTGTCATTCCTATACTGCAGTGCCCAAAATTGCACACAGTGCTCGAGGTGCAACCTCACCAAGGCTAAGTGGAGGGACAGGATCACCTCCATAGTCCTGTGGGTTACACTATTCCCAGTACAGGCCAAGATGCCATTAGCCCTCTTGGCCACCTGAGCACACTGCTAGCTGATGTTCAGGTGGCTGTTGATCAACAACCCCAGGTCCCTCCCAGCTGTGCAGCTCTGCAGCCTCTCATCCTCAAGTCGGTAGCGCTGTCTGGGGTTGTGGCCAAAGGGCAGTATCTGACTGAAACTCCTGCAATTGTCCTCAACCCATCAATTAAACCTGTCCAGATCCCTCTGCAGTGCCTCCATACCCTCAAGTAGAGTGACACTCCCACCCATTCTGTATTCAGAGAATGATAAAGTGGTTGGAATGGACCAGGGAGACCATCTAGTTCTAGAATGAAAGAAATAGAATTAAACTAGGCATTTTAACAAATTAATGAACTTTTATCTTAACTAACAGATAGTGGAAGAGATGTTGATACTTAAAACTCATCTTAAAATGTCCTGTC